CCCCAAAACCCCAAAACCCCAAAACCCCGAGTGGGGGTTTGAAGATAGAATTAATGATATTGTGAGAGGATTTTTTGAAAATTTAGAGAGGATATCAATAGCATTTGACAGAGAAGTATGGGTTATAGCTTCTTACTCATTTCATCAGATTTAGAACGCTTTTGAGGAATTTTTAGCTTGCTGAAGAAATTTTGGTTAGTTTCATTTAGTGAAACTTTCTGAGAATTCTTAGGACTCCCCTCATTATCCAGGTTAGTACATACTCGATCAGACGAAGAAGACTGATAACTTCCAATATGGTCTCCGATCTGAGCCAGAGCACTGCTGCTTGGGAAACTAAGCTGCTGAGGAGAGTCAGAGAATCAGTTCACCTTATACTCACGAAGACAATACAGTTTTCCTAAAGTATGAATAAGACCTTGATGGAATGGACTTAGCTGGGCCATAAAACTAGATGAATGCTTCTGCTGATTATTATTTTCAGTCTCTGTAAACTCTTGAGCTCTATGGTCAAAAGTCATTGAGCTAGATTTCCTGGCTGCAGGCAAGATCATCATCTTCACCTGCTGGTTTGGATAAATTCTAGTGATAGATTTCCCACTATATGTTACTGAGGATTTACCTAGGTAGGAATCCTTTTTCAACATCTCAAGGAACTACAGTCTCGATCTCATTAGCTCGGATAATGACATCTCCTCTATTGAGGCAAACATAAGCGGAGTCTTGTGTAGTAACTGTGTTCTGATGATTTCCTCTCTGATCCTTAAAATACTTGTTTGATGACTGGAGTCTTTGCTCCGAAGACCGTTGACAGGATGCTTCATTATTTATTCTACTTACGCTTGAGTCTCTCATAAGGGTTTGTGTTGTTCTGACTTCTCACACTATTTGGCTGATTCGAATGGCTGTCTACAACTTTTCTATAATTCCGGGAGCTACAGTTTAGGCTAAAATCAATACCTTTGTCCAGAAGGGACGAGGGACATCATATTGTCCTGATTGGGTGGATCATTTTCTATTACTTAAATCAGTGAGTTGGATTAGATTCAATAGAAACAAGGCAATTCATGTTATAAATTTATATTTTTCCCAAAATGTTATTCATTCATCAAATGCAAAGCTGAGGATACGAATATCGAAGATTACTACTAAAAAGTTAAATGAGCATAAATACTTCAATTTATTTAAAAATATTTGGCAATGCTAGTAAATTAGACAATGCTGACCCTATTTGTCTTTGGATCAGTGTTTACAACCAAAACAGCTTACCTGGAACCTGGCTGCTCATATAACAATCAAAAGGGTTGGGTGAGCTTGATTTCTTCTTTATTTCAGCAAAGTAATTATCTGGGAGACTCTTAACCTGAACATCAGCTTCGGGTGTAAATTTTTCATCGATTATTTCCTTGACCTGTTCAGGCTCTTTTGTGTCTATATAAACTGTTTAGGTGATACTATTTCCAGAAATGTGGTCTTCTTGATGGTCCAACCTGTTATTCATCAATCATTGGTTGTTTGTTGGTGCTATTTTATCTAACTTTTTGAGTTAATAAAATTGAACTTCATTTATAATGCTGACAATCTAAGTCATATTCTTAACTTAAAAGCAAATTCTAACTTCCCAAAAATTTTCAAAAAAATCCATAAGACAACTGATGTATTTTTACATTGTAAGAAATTCCATTTATTGATATAAAAAGTTTCAAAATGGATAAATTCCAAAAATTAGAATAGGCTTTAAATCTCTCTGTGCAATAAACATCTTGAGTATAAATCACTTTCTCGCTCCTACCTCTCTAACTAAGGTGTAAAATCTTTGAAATAATCATGATTTCTTTAGCCTACCAATTATGTGCAAAATATTACTAATTTTTATAATTTAACATCAGCCCATATACTCTAAATATTACTAGGAATATGCCCATAGTCTAATCCTAGAGAAATTGTTGACACTTTACAGATTATTTCCAAGTTCTTATAACGCCAATAAGAGGCCTAATCCTATCCAAAAGTAGTAGGAACGGCTTAAAGAGCAATGGATCCAGTGCTAGCTACAACCTCTTTTTATTGATGTGCTAGGTAATTTCAACTAGGATAAATTAGTTAATGATTATGTATTGCTAATTTTTAATTTGCCCAAACTTTACCAGTCTATGAATAAACTGACCGAAGCTAACATTGTTGATCTTCACAACATTCCCTAAAGTAGCATTACCACTACTTCTACAAGATAGATCCCTTAGGCCTAACGACCGATCTATCTCATAGAAACACCAGTCATCTCCCTTTAAACCCTCTCTATTCTCTCATCTATATTCTTCCAGTCAGCTCTCGACCAAATTCCCTTATCCCAGTGAACCCCAGTCGCCTTTATCCCATTCCGAGACCAGTCCAGTGCCATATATATCTGCTAACCTCAGAGATTTACCTTTGGGTTCTTTCTCTTCTTCCATTGTTGGGTAGAAACTAAATATTATATCAAGTGGAGACTCAGAAGTTGGGGTTTTGGGGTTTTGGGGTTTTGGGGTTTTGGGG